GGGGAGATCTATGTCTCAAATTGGATGTCTTCACACCTATTGAACTTCGAAGTGTAGATCGTGACATCTCCAGACCAAATATATATCATCGCGAAACGAGCTGATCGGATCCGGAGCACACGGCCCAACCATTCATTTTTAATTTATTAAGGCAAGGAAGGGGTGAGGCGGCGAAGAGACATCGAGCCCTGGAGGAAGATTTTGGAAGGACCCTAAAGCTACTGGCGCTTGTAGGCTCAGCCACACTTTTGCGGAGGATTCTTCAAAGTTTTCAGTTCTGCACCGTAAAATCCATCGATCTGGAAGGAACAAGGTCTGATATTGGGAAAAGTGGGAGGAATGGCGGGTAGAATCCGAAGTAACAAGTTGATCACACCTGTCAAGCGCCCTTCGCCCTCTTTTTACCACCCTTAGATTTAAAGCCTCCAAAACTCGCACACGTTGAAAAGGTTCTGCACCGAAGCCAGTATAGTGGGCAGCATCGTTGTTGCCACGAGGTCTTGCGTCACGGCCGGGGGGGTGCTCCGTGCTGTCGCAGTCATCACAGTGCCATAGGCTCCAGCTGCTGGTGCATTCATCTTTTCCTCGATAAATTTAAAATGGCTTAGATGGCTTTGAACATTCTTGCCAACGCTCCGTTTCCCCCCAGATCATCCAGATGCACCACATGATGAGGCCACAGATCACGGTGAGGGAAACTCCGAGAACGGGGCGGGGGTCCTCATTGAGGGTCAGCTGATCAACCCATAATTCATCCAAGCTCTTCAAGTGTATGTTTAGTGCCGAGAATAGAAACGGAAAGAAGACTTTGGTGAGCTTGTCGGCGCTCCTTCTGGTCGTAGACGCTCTGCGAATGGCTTATGGGCGCTCCGTATTGTCCGTGGTAATTGACAAATCGGACCTTTGCTGTGAGCGTGTCGGTAGGTAATGAAGACAAGGTTTGATAAACATACTCAGATTAGACATGAAACACCCTGTTGAACACAACGATGAGCACGGATCGACGACAGCCCATAGAACGTATACAGAGGCATCAATTGGAGCTCGAAGATGTTCGTTCTGAGGAAAGGTGTTGTGAGTTAACGGAGTGTTTCCATTGATCGTCAACACACTCGCTTGCCACGCCTTCTGCAATATTGGCCAGCTCCCTGAGACTCTGGGTTGTCTGATTGATGGTGGTCAGATTACTTGTCTGTACATCTGGAGAACTATCATTGCACCGATCTTGTGTAACTTGTTTAGATATTTACCTGTACGAGCCTTTGCTATCGTGTTCGCTACGAGCTCATGGCGTTCTTATGTAGGATGATTGACATCGGGAAACAAATGCCAATAAACCCTTCAACAATAGTGGAAGTCAGTTTTTGTTCCGATGAAGCAGTAGTGACATGCTTACCAGTATTGAAATGCCAGAAACATTTCTACAACAAAGACGAGAATGTCAGCATATCGGGGCCTGGTCATGGAAAAATCCCTCACTACAATGCGTCGCCGAGAGTGGCCCCCTCACCTCGAGAACAAAGTTTGAAGTATCGGAATCCTCTGACCAGAACATGCTGCGATTCGGAGCGCTGGCATAGTAATACCCACACCAATTCACCCCCTTTCCTATGTTGAGCTCGAAAACAAGGTGTGTGTAATCAGTTTGCGCCAGGTTCTTTAACTGGGTAAAGCTTTCGAATCCACTGAAGAAGTCAGCCAGAATCCGAAACATTCCAACAGTCGGCGACAATCCTCTGCATCGATTGTTAGTGGACATGCTTTGTCATATAGAGATTTTTACCTTTCTGGCATAGTAGAAGTACGGTGCGCCCTCTGGGCGTGATATCTGCTTCCACCCAGCTGGCATTCCACCTCTGTGGACAGCGTTAGACAGGGAGGCACATACAACATGTACCCTGAAGCGCGTGGACCTTGCACCGCACGTCTTCGTTCACACTGTCAGACAGTGTCAGCAAGTTCTAATAGACGATGAATCAGAGCCTCACATGTACCACGACCGCTTATATCTTGCAACTTTGTACGGCAAAAGGGCGTAGATATGGTCATTCCAAGCCTCACCAAGGGTGGTACCGCTCCTTCTGGCTCAGCGACATTTATGCTTTATAGACCACGCGAAAGGGGGTGGACACCGGGGGGATGAGGTCCGGTCCCAGCTTGCGAGGGGGGGGGGACAAGGATCATTGGGCTAGGCACGGTGTATCCGGGAGAGTCAAGCGCTGGTGAGTTTCCGCCCAACGGATCTGCGGTAGATTGGATTATGACATGAACAGCTGGCGGTATAACTTTCCGAGAGGATCCAGTGCTCGAAGAGCTTGCGAGTGACAGCTGCTGGGCAGAGCGTGTCATTGAAAGGTTGTTCTGGGGCAAGCATGGGGCGTAAGTCTCTGTATCCTCCCCCTTGATGCTTCCCAACCAAGGGCTCACAGCAAGAGTTCTGCGCTGGGGAGTCTGTCGAGCGACGTCGCTTGTTCATGGCGCATCACTGTAAGAAGCGCCACAGTAGTGCCTATAGATCACGTCAGCGTTGCGTTAGGTGCTTGAAAGGCGCTTTTCGCAAGTCTCGCAACAAGGAACAAGGAACAAGATAGCCTTAAATTGCTAATGGCCTGTGAGTGGAGTAATATACCTGTGCTCAATGCTCGTTCGTTGTTGTCGACGCGGATAAGCCTGAGTAACAATTCGATGTACGATAGTCCATTATGGGCGTCGGGTCGGGGAAGCTCAGAACAGTAACTAAACAAATTCAGATGATGATTAGAGTCAAGAATGGATACAGGGTCATCAGTGAACACACCTTGTGCAGTCAATTATCCACCAATAAGCACCCCATTCTGAGTCGTTTCTTCGCGCAACAAGAAGGTTTATGTTCGCTCACAACCTCGACCTTAACATAGTCCCATACAATCGAATAAGTTAACGAAGTTTTTTGGGAAACATGGCGACATAGTGGGGTTCGTGTCCACTTGTTAGATCCAGCAGTGCAAAGTTTGGAAGTCAGGAGGGAACGAGACTTGAAGAAGACGTTGGTGGTCGCGTTTGAACGTTGATCATTGACGAGAGGCGTTTGTTTATTATTAATATAAGGTTGGCGGCATGACCGAGGTCAAACTGGCCTTTGTTCGCTTGTTTCCGGTCTCGATCCGGATCTTATCTGCTCCTATCCAAGGCCATCATCGTCGTTTGCACCACCTCCCAGTGATAGAGTGACATTGAATACCAGTCTCGGCCCGTTGCTTTCCCGGCGCTGAGATATCCACCCTCGAAATTTCCCTCCCTCAATGACGCGTCCCAGGCGTTATACCGACCACCTGGAGCTGGCGAACACCTCGAGATGCATCAAGTCGCAGCGACAGAGCCAAAACGTCATTCACCACTATTCTGAGAGACACCGCGGATCGAACGCAGGGGCCTCTCGAGTCCGACACGACGTTCAGACGATGAGCGGTGCATCACCGGTGCTGTCCTATGCTCCCTTGGTTCCTTCATCTCCGCATACCTAGTATAAAAGCGGTCTATGCATATGGGGAGCATATACTGTACATCTCGCGCCAAAAACAGTAAACCACATGAAGATGGAATTGGTGGACACGCGAGTCGAACATGGGGGGCTCTAGAGTCCCGTCTCAGTCATACGGGCGGTACTTCACCAGCGCTGTGCCACCCTCCTGCAATGATTCCGTTCACTACGTGTACAGACGATATTGTTTGGGTTGTGTACACCCCAAATTTTCCCCGAACCAAAAATAATGAGGACGGTTGACCACACGCGGCGCCTGGGGTCGAACGCGGGGGCAACATCGTGACTGGTACCTATCCATGCTCATATGGGCGGCACTTCAACAGTCTCTCCGCTTACCGTCTCATAACCTGGGCGAGGATACGGCTCTGAGGACGCGGTACCAGTTGTACCAGACGCATGCACATTCTCAGCCAAAACTGGACAACTGACCTTGAAATGGGCAGTAGGGGCATGCGAATCGAACGCGGTACCCTTTCTGTGATGGCGCTCCACCAGCTTCTCTATTTGCCCTTTTATATCGACCATGTAATGGCCCATGCCACCACCGCCAGATTATCCAGGGGGCGTGCCACGGACATGTGTATACCCCGAGCCAAAACGTATGAGCAGGTGTGCCAAAAGTATGGGGGGCACGCGGGTCGAACGCGGGACAGGGCCACCCATCCACCCTTAAACATCAGTCTCTCAGCGGCGCTTCACCAGCACTGCGGTGTACCCGTACAAAACACTTCCCTGATCCTCTCCATAACCCTTCCATTGGGGGACGAACCAAGGGGGTGCACGGGGCCAGACGATGCACAGACGGACGCGCATCTGGCCAAAAGAGATTGCCCTGCACAGGGACTCTGATGGCAGGGGGATACGCGGATCGAACGCAGGCGGACTAGCTCCAACTTCAGCTTGGCGCTTAATCAGTGCTGAGGCATGCCCCTGACAGGTGTTCCGTTACAACCTGCGATGAGAAGGGTCCACCGGATTCAGATTCTGAGGAGGGCAGGATCTTGGGGCTGTTGATGCGGTGGCCAAATCCCGGTGTATGTAGTTCGCTGCACCGTACTTCCTGTCTCTATTCCAGACTCTATACATCCATGTCGTGTGTACGATCCTGCACATTTTGAGTGTATGAACAGAAAACGAGAAATTACAAGGAGTGGATCCAGACTCTTGGAGGGCATCGTGAAACGAACGCACATGCTTCACTGAAGTTGTGAGAAAGAAAGTCCGACCTCTGTTCGTGTGCATTCCACCAGCGTTGAGACAGATTGAAATAGCCCCTACGAGATGGTCCGTTGATCATCTCAAGAATGATACCAGGATGCGCAGCGCCTTCCAGGATGAGGGGAGTTGTGGTTGTGGGTTGCGGATTACGGGTGCGCAAGCTGGAGGGAATCTGACACCGGCCATTCCTTGCGGCATGCACGATTGATTAGACACGCCACATGGAACACACAAGAAAAATTAATATCCCAACATTATATGGGGGCACCGCGGATCGAACGCGGGACCTTCAGAATTCGGACATATATGCTACTTCAGTCTGCTGCTCTCCCAGCTGAGCTATGCCCCCTTCTCTTTTTCTAGGCGTATTGTAATTGACGTGCCTGCTTGCACATGGACATGCACCAGTCACGCACTTAACCTCTGGCCGTTCCAAGAGATGGCCAAGAATACAACCCAAGGCCATGCAGAGCACGCGGGTCGAACGCAAGCCCCTACAAATGGCCGCGGGGCCCGGTGCACAATACCAAAAGCCACATCAATTCTGCATTCCGGTGAGTTCCAGACGAGGCCCAACCCAAAAATGACAATATCCTTTGCCCGACATACGGTTGGATGCGGATCGAACGTAGACCTCCGTATGACGCATGTAGTTGACGCATAGAGTGAAGTAGGTGCAGCAAAACATCCCAATGTTCCTTTCAGGCTGGTTGTAGTCTGGGCCTTTGGTGCTTTAAAGTCATATGGAGTGAAGTGGGGAAGAGGCGGGAACGCTCTGGCACAATGGAACAAGACGAGAAAAAATGTTTCGTCAACACACTATGAGGGCGACGCGGATCGAACGCGGGGTGAAGCCTCAAAGGACGGTTCTGGTGTTCAAACGTTCAGTGTCCATAAGTACCGGACCAGTTCTCCTTCTCCCCCAGTGTTTGATAGATCGGCCATCACATATCATTGCACCAGGTCGACTGTGGTCAGGCCGCCAGGCCTTCAACTTCATGAGGGGGTGACACGCCGATCCCAAACGATGCCCGGCAAAAACGCATAGATTTTATTCGTGAATAATCACTCCGAGTCCACAATTCACAAGCACACCGCATGCGCTTCACCGCTTACCTTGCGGGCTTGTACGATTGTGGGGTAGAGCGGCACATGAAGGGAAGGGTCTCGAAAGGCTGGGCGCAAAAGTCAACTCTTTAAGATACAGTCATGGTAGAGGCAAATGAGTTGAAGATAGCCCTACCAATATTCCAAGCAAACTGTGTGCGGGGTGCAGCGAGCCCCACGGCTGTCCCAGTAAGGCGTTAGAAAGGGGGGTACGTAGGATCACCGCACATGGGATGCATCATCATTGCGACGCCTCGGGCTTCCAAGGCCACGACATGTGAATGCAGTTAAGACCTCAGTAAAAGGAGAGCCAGGCTCACAATACCTATCGCGCCGCAGCAAAAGAGCTCCAGGTAGCAGATAATTGAAGGTGCGTGATCGCCAGTTGAACGCGATGTCTCCCTCGTGTGTTTGTTGCAAACATTCTGCGAGGTATTTAGTGAAAAATAGGGCCTGATGTGCCCGTCCTCTATCTGTTTGATAACCTGGATGCTAAAAGAAAATAAAGAGCTTCAACGTCGGGGGGGAGAGTCAGTCACCGGATTTATTTAATCAATGTCGCTGGCCGGGCCGATATTTTCGGTCAGGAACAGCCCTTACTCCGAATAACCCATCTGCAATCCAACAGGCGACTTTCATTCATTCAGTTGATACCAACGCCTTCTTTACGCGTCTCAGACACACATTATTATTCTCAGCGCGTCGTGTCACCGTAGAATTTCATCAAAAGCCTCGCTATGCGATTTCTAAACTTCGAGGCTGTGGTTGAAGTCGACGGGGTTGCGCTGCCAGAGTATGAGGTCAAGTATGACGACAAGGCTAACAGCGCGACCTGTTGGATTCCTTCGGAGGCGGGAAAGGTGAGTTCATGCCTTGGGAAAGCCTAATCCAATGACCAACTTGTGTTTATTAACTAGCCGTTCGCTATCGCCTTTCAGCCGCTAAAAAAGCACTCCTTTGCAACGTCTGGTAGATCATATGTTGACGGAAAGTATGTTGGAGGGAAATTCAACAGATCGAGGAGTTGCATACGCCTGGTTAAAATGGAAGTCAGGACCTCAGCGACTACCGCCAGACCTCTACAATTCTCAACAATCCAGTTCACAGGTTTCATCCAACGGTTTCTTCGGCGAGGCAACCACTAATGTTGACCATATTAGATGATGAAGCATCTACGAACTTCCCACCTACCAAGAGCCTCGGCAACATTGTGGTCAAGATGTATCATGTAGAGCTCGGCAAATCGAGCACGCACGATGGAGTCCGCGGTGATTTCTCAGATCATAAAGTTTCTGAAAGCAGCAAGAAAGCAATGGCACACCAAGTTAAGTCAGTCATCAAGGACCCGCCACAAAAGTCGCACCAATCTCACCCCTTTCTAAGATTTGGCGGGGAAACGTATGTGGAGAGAGGAAATAGTCGCCATACAAAGGATATCTCACAACTGGTACATTTTACTTTCAAGTATCGCTCAATTGGTAACTATGCTCGTTGTTTGGTCTTCTTGTATAACTAATTTCCTACTAGACACCTTGAGAGCCGACGGCATTGCACCTCCTGACCCAGCAGTCAGAGATCACTCGAAGGGGAAACGGAAAGCCGCAGAACTTGATGTTAAGGAAGAGAAGGCTTCCGACGACGACGCAGAGGAGTCAGATTCTGACGAGGAGGAAAATACTATCTTTAAGGGCTTACTTGTGAGTCCTTTTTACTACTGACGGGCTAGGTTGACGATGCCCGGTGCTTAGGATGCACTCCATAAACTCGAGGAGAAAAGAGCGAAGAAGAAAGCTGCAAAAGCCAAGTCACAATCCACATCTTCGAAGAAGATCAAGACAGAACCGAAAGCTCGCCCTCTCCGTGCTTCCGTGACTGAGGTCATTGATCTCACTTGAACGATACCTTTCCACCATGCTCCGCACAATACATCTCTACAAAACCATACCCACCTCCGCCACTTTGCGCATTTGCAGTCCCTCTACAGTAAAGAGACAAAGACCTTTTTTTCTTTCTCTAGCTTTTCCATTAATGAGTACTTTAAGGACAGAATCTGCGTGTTTGTTATTGTTAATATTTGAATCCTGGAATTTCACGTTATAGCCCGGACTGGCAGGGCTTCTGTCATCTTCTCGCAATATTCAGAGTTACTGACAACGGTACTTGAAGTCTTATCGAAACGAGGAGATAAACGGCTAACAGCGATGACGACCACAAAAAAACCCCTACTCTCTGGTAGCCTTGAATCTAGCGTTTTCGCGCGCTCTTTGGACCATGAAACGCGTCGCACCGTCCTAGAATCAAACTTCCCTTGAAATGCGTTTTCCGGACTTCGATGCCATTGTTCGCCCGATACCTGACTCCAGAGAGGTAATCGACCATACTTAAAGATACATGAGGGTTTTCAAACGTTGTTATCGATCTGTCTTAGGTAGTTTCAAGGCATTTTAGTTTTGGCAACCCCGGCTTGGGTAAGTCACTACAGTTTACAGTGCTTTGCAAAAAACTATGCACACACAAATTCGAAAAAACTGCTGAGTAAGCGTTTGTTGTGACACGCCGCATCAATGCATCACGCTTTATTGCCTTCAAGGTGCCAGTGAATAATATGTTTGCGCATCTTGTCAGATAATGGAGGGGCGATTTGGAACTGCCACTCAGTTGAGGGATAAATCACTGGGCGCTCTTCCTAAATTGCCCCTCATTGGCCGTGACAGTGTCACATCAAGAGCTTACTAAGCAATTTTTTCCAATTTGTGTGTGCATAGTTTTATGCAAAGCACTGTAGTACGGAAATTCATAATCACAAGCGGCCGGTATAATTTCCACCCGAAAGTCCGATCACTGTCAATTACCTCTTCTTCATTACCTTCATGGTTGATTTCGCGATCCCCGCAGTCCCGGCGACAGTGCTAGAGCCGTTTTCTCCAGAGACTCGAGTCTATATAGAACGATTACTGGCAACCACGCGCGCCAGCCCCGATCTGTCCGTCAGTCACCTCTTAGCGTAAGTTGGATCCATCTGACGCGATTTCTGTGCAGTTCTGCGCATCCCCAATCTAAGCTTGGGGCCGTGCTTATTCTTCTGTACGAGCAAGCAGGGGAACTGCGTGTGTTACTCACGACGCGGTCGAAGTCGCTCCGGACACACCCTGGGCAGACCGCACTTCCCGGAGGCAGAGTGGATGATACTGATGCGAGTTTCATTGAGACCGCCGTGCGTTATGTGCCTCTACGCAGTCAACGTGGTCATTGATTTCGCAGTGTCCAGTATCGGGAAGCCTATGAAGAGGTCGGCTTGCCTCTGAACTCGCCAGATGTGCACACTGTCGCTGTGCTAGAACCCTCAATATCACTATACAAGATCGTTGTCATACCCGTTGTCGCCATTCTCACACGACCATCGCTACTGCGTGAACTAAAGGCCGAGGCGAGCGAGGTTGCCTGCATCTTCACGCACCCGCTACGTGGGGTCCTAGATCCCAGCATCGCCGCGTCCGAACCCTTGGCAGAACTCGGATCGGAAGACTGGCCCTACGAAGTCGAGCTCTACGTGCGTTTCTCCCTTATCTCAAAAATTGCGGCTCACATCGTGCACAGAGTACGTCAGACTCCGTCGTGCCTATTCTAGGCAACATGTTGTACCGCATGCACCGATTTAGAAGCTCTGCATCCCCCATCAAGGGCCTGACCGCCGACCTCCTCGTACGTGCTTCCCGATTTTCGTCTTACTCTTCATCTCAGTATGCGACAGATCAAGACGGCAAAGATTGCATTCGACCGCAGCCCGGTATACGAGCAGTATGCCCCGGGACAGCTGAAGACGTTCAAGGAGATCAGTGAATCGCTTGTCAGCGGACTTGGTCAGGTTAAAGAGTTGGTCTGAGTGGATAGTTCGCCCTTTTGTTTCTAAATACAACACTAATATAGAGGAGCCTGTGATTGTAACTTTTGGCGCTCCAAGCCACCTCCGGAGAAAGGGGCGGATCCCACTCATCCAGAATCGTCCTTTGCGCCTCAGTTCGCTCCTCATCACGCAAATCATGGGCTACCTCCCACATCTCGCTCAGCCATTCCAAGACATTCTGATTGCTCTCTGCAGCAAACATCCACCGTCGCACAGGAGCAGGCCCAAGAGTAGGAGACTGTTTATATACGACGTCTGTCCCTTGGTCTTGAGGTGGCGGTTCTGGTGTTGAGCTTTCTGGGACTCGTTGCCCCCGTTCCGCTACGCGGTATGATTGT